TGCAAAAAATCTCACATGAGGGCTGGGGATGTGGCTCAAGCGGTAGCGCGCTTGCCTGGCATGTGTGGGCCCGGGTTGGATCCTCAGCACCACATACAAACAAAGATGTTGTGTCCGTCGAAAACTAAAAAAATAAATATTAAAAAAAAAAGATCTCACATGAAACTGGAGTCCATAAACAGTGCTGCTACTGTAGTCTTAAAAAGGGATCTTCATTCTAAATAGTAAGAATGTGATATATATGTAGCAGGGTGTCAATGGTGAAGCCCCAACAGACATTTACTTATATTCCGTCTAGTTCAAGATGCTCTCTAAAAGTGACAAAGGAATAATAAAGATAATTAAAGAGCATGAAAATAATATTCACAGAATAGACCTTAAAGAAAGATTACTTGAGAACAAACTTGAAGTACATAAACAGATTGTCATGCAGAAACTGGTCACCTTTTTTTTACTCTTCTTTCATTCACCAAGGAAAAAAGCAAACAAACAACAACAACAACAACAACAACAAAAGATTCACTTTATGACATGAGGGGTTAGTTTATCATAGAAGGAAATTTTGGCACAGAACCTTATTAAAGACCAGACTGGTGGAGGCAGAAAGAAAATGCTTTAAAGGGGGAAAGGAAGGACAGCAGAATAAAATAGACATTATTATTGCTGTATGTATATACGTGACTGCATGACCAATGTGATTCTGCAACCTGTACAATCAGAAAAATGAAAAATTATACCCCATCTGATTCAAATTTATGATATGTGAAGATCATTGTACTGTCATGTGTAACTAATTAAAACAAATACAAAAATTAAAATTGTAAAAAAAATTTAAAAAAATTATTTACAGCCAATGAAAACATTAAAAAAAAAAACTTTCAAGCTTGAAATAATTTTAGACTTACAGAAACACTCAGAAGAATAGCATAAATAATTCCCTCACCTAGATTCAATGTTAACATTTTAATGCAATTGCTTTATCACTCTGTATAAATATTGTTTGAACAATATTTATATAGAGTAATTTACAGACATGTAAATTGTTATTGTTTTTGCAGTACTAGGAATTGAACCCAGAGATGCTCTACAACTGAGCTACACCCCCTAACCCTTCTCCCTTTGTGGTACCAGGGATTGAACCTAAGGACACTTAACCACTGAGCCACATTCCCAACCCTTTTAAGACAGGGTCTTGGGCTAGGGTTGTGGCTCAGCGGTAGAGCACTCGCCCAGCATGCAAGGCCCTGGGCTCAATCCTCAGCACCACATTAAAATTAAGGTATTGTGCCTGACTACAACTAAAAAATACATATTAAAAAAAAAAAAAAAGACAGAGTCTTGCTAAATTGCTGAGGCTGGTTTTAAACTCATGATCTTCCTGCTTTAGCCTCTGGAGTTGCTGGGATTGTAGGCATGTGCCCCCAACCCCAACCTGCTTCTCCCCCTTTAAAATTTTTTTTTAATTCAGAGACAGGGTCTTGCTAAATTGTAGAGGCTGGCCTCAGCCTCACTGTAATCCCTCCCTGGATTACAGGCATGTGAACATGATTCCTCCTGACCTCTAAATACTTCCTAAAAATAAGACCTTTCTCCCGCCTAACCACAGTAACACTACAAAATTGAGAAATTAACACTGATATAATACTGTTAATCTGAAGACTGTATTTGCCTCCTGTCCCTTAAAGGAAAAAACAAAACAAACAAACAAACAAACAAAAAACCAAAACAATATTTTGGGGGGGGTTCAGGATAATTTCTTTTAAACTACTTTAATTAAGAACAGTTTGTTAGTCTTTGTCTTTCAGGACATTAATATGTTTAAGAATATACTGTGGGGAGAGGATTAAAATCAAATTCTTGCATGTATGATTTTGTCAAAATAAACCTAACTATGTATAATTATAATGCCCTAATTAAAAAAATAAAATTTAAGAGTATACTGACCTCAGTTTGGAATTTGTATCACTCCTGCATTCTTTTTTTTGCAAAGCACCTTTTATTTATTTATTTTTCTTTCCTTTTTTATTTATATACGACAGCGGAATGTATTACAATTCTTATTACACATATAGAGCACAATTTTTCATATCTCTGGTTGTATACACAGTATATTCACACCCATTTGTGTCTTCCTACCTGTACTTTGGATAATAATGATCCTCACATTCCACCATCATTAATAACCCCATGTCCCCACCCTTGCATTTTTTAAATTAATTTATTTGTGACGTTTTAGATGCGATGTTGAGTGAAGACTTGAATGAGCCTTCCTTTAGGAGAGTTTTATTTGTTTTTTAAATAGATGGTGGTGATAGTAATAAAATATTTTTGTATCCAGAATGGATTTACTTGTATCACATAGATTTCTCCTCCTTGACATTCTTTCCTATTGTGATTTTAGTTTAATAAAAGTTAAGTTTGTGGAGAATTAGCACCTACTCTTTATAAACATTTGAGATTTAAGTTACCTGTAGATTTCCAGGTTGAGAATCTAGCTTTTGCAGTCAAGCCCTAGGCTTAGAAGACAAAGCTGCAAAAATGGGTGGATGTTACTACAATCATTCAACAAATATTTGTTGAGTGCATAATATATGTCAGGCTCTGTTTCAAACCCTCAGAACATATTCGAAACAAAACAAAACTATCCCTGTCCTTGTAAATCCAGTTGGATGAATCAAACTTTAAAATAATAATAATATTAAACACACACACACACACACACACGGATGAAGGAAAAAAGTCTCTAAAAAGGGGGCATTAAGAGATTCATGATTTTAAGTTGGATAACGCTGCTGTGGAATTCTTGGAAATCGTTCTGATTTATTGAGTCTTCAGTTTATCCAAACGCGTTATAAAAATGTTGAATCCAAACACCAAAGCCCTGAAAGGACGGGCGGGCCCACGCTTTCCAAGCTGTTCAAATCACTTTCTCAGCAACAGTCGCCTGTCGTGGCGTCTAGCCTCCTCGCAGCCAGGTGAGATCTGGTCGGCCCAGCCATGCCAAGTACCCGGTCCAGCGTCCCTGCGAGACAGCGCCTCCGGGGCGGACAGAGAAGAGCATCTGGGAACCGCGCACCGAGAAAGCCCTGTGGGGAGGTGGCTCGGGGGAAACCGGCTCCTCCAGGCGGCCTCGCCTACTGCAATGCAATCTGGGTGGTTTTCCCAAGTCCTTCTTGGCCTCATTCCGCGCCCAGTTCCAGCCCCCGCGACGCCCAAGGGCCAGGAAGGGTAACTCCTTGATACTGTGGTAAGGCGGGTCGAGGACCCGCTGCGATCCAGCAGGGGCACCTCCGCACCTTGAAGTCTAGAAGTGCGAAGCGAGCGCCCCTGGAACTCCAGCCGCGAACAAGGTTGTACGGAACGCGGTCGCAGCATGGCAGGTGTGGGAACCCGGCCTCCGCCCGCTCTCTGGGGAGGCAAGCAGCTACCTGCACCGCCCGCGGCTCCGCCTCCGCCCGCACCTTGTCCTACCTGGAAACCCACTGCTAGGGCCTTGAGCTCCTCTCCCCGCTCCCAGGAGTCTCAAACCCCACCGGGAAAGCCGGATCTCCATCTTCCCCTAACAAGTGTCCGCGAAAAGTTACCGATTTGTACCCGGCGTAGGTACACTAGGTGTTTGGTTGACTGATTTCACATCATGAATACAAAGGGCTGGATACCTGGGGTCAAATTAGTAAAAATTTCAGACGGAATTCTGTTCCCGAGAATAGACCGGTTTGAAATATAAAACCCGAGGAAACTCCATCTCTGGTGCTTGTCTCTCTAAAACGACACGCGACCCACCACGTCGCCGTCCAACTTGGTGGCTGGGGGGTGGTGATGGTGGGGGCGGTGGTGGGGGGTGGGGTGGGGGTGGGGGGGGGGGGGGTGGTGGTCGTGAGCGCACAAGTACAAACCAAGCTGAGCTAGGAGAGGCGGGTACCTTGGTTAAGTCTACACACTCCCAAGTACAAAGCCAAAAGGCACACTTGAAGGGCATGGGATCAGAGCGCGGAATTGAGGGGAAAACTTGCTTGACCTGATTTAGGAAAACCTTTATTAGGTATGTGGGGTCGCTGCATTTTTATCTGGAGCCCAAAGCAAATCAAAGGAAGTGGGCCCCAACCCTGGAGGACGTTCCAGTCTCGAACTAGCAGCCAGTGCAAACAAGATGTAGTAATTAAAGCAGTTGAGAGAAAAGGGAGTGGGGGCCGTTGTGCCTGAATTTCCTCGAGGGGGTCTCCCAGTCGCTTTGGGCGCCTTGAGTAACTGCGTCCAGGGGCGTGACTTGGTAGCTGGGCGCCCCAGGCGTCCAGCTCTGCGGCGCGCGGGGTTTCTCTCTAAGGTGGGCAGCTCTGCGGAGTTAGGGGAGCGTGCTCTGGCGCTCTGGCCAGGTGAAGGGGAGGGACTGCAGAATTTCTCCTTGTTTGCACTGAAAGGTGTGTTAGGCTCGGGAGCGGCTTTTCCGGGGTTCGGCAATTGCCCCAGCCACCTCCTGGCTGCCGTTGGCCGGTCCCTCCCACCGCGGTTCGCCTCGCCGGGCGCCGCACCCTGGGCAGCTTCGCGCCCGGGGCCTCACCTCTAGCCTCCTTTCGCCTCCCCGCGCCTGGCTTTTTCTCTTGACCCTTCAAAACCTTCAGCTTCGTTCCTCCCAGCCAGACTTCCCTTGAGCTCCCCCACACCTCTGGTACGTCCTGTAGGGACCCTTCTCCGCGATTCCCCGCCCTTTACCCCTCACTTTCCCAGTCCAGCCCAGTCTACCCTCTGGGTGGCTACCGCCCCTTCCCCGCCCCTTCGGCCTCTCCCTCCACCCCTCTCAACCTGGCCTCCCCATTCATCTAGCCATTGTCTACCTCCCCCCTCCTCCCCCTCCCCAAGCGGCCTCCTCCCCCACCGCTGCCACGTAGTGGTTTGAAGGAGCCAATGGGCCGGCGCCGCCAGGTGTCTCTTACCTGCACCACGTGGGGGAGGGGGAAGGGGCGGGCAGGTAGAGCCACATCCCAAAACAGAAAAGCTTTCAGCCATTGCGCGCGCCTCCCGGGAGTACAGCCCAGCTCCTGGCTTTTTCATAAACGCACGGGCAATTGAATACAAAAAGGGCAGGCCTCCTGCACCCTCCTTCCCACCCCCCTTCCTGCCCTGGGTGTGGAGCACCGGCCAGGTGTGGGCTTGGGTGGTTGGTTACCGCCTTTTGCACTGGCGGCAGCGAGGAGGGGGGGTGGGCGCTCTTTCTTTTTCTCTTAGAAGAAGGTTTTAGCACAGGTTTTCTCGTTCTCACTTCCACCCCGCCTCACCGCCTCCCGACCCCCCTTCTTCCCCTCCCCACCTATCGTCATGACGGCGTCTCCGGATTACTTGGTGGTACTTTTTGGGATCACTGCTGGGGCCACCGGGGCCAAGCTGGGCTCGGATGAGAAGGAGCTGATCCTGCTGTTATGGAAAGTCGTGGATCTGGCCAACAAGAAGGTATTTCTTCACGTTCTTGTCCAAGGCGAGGGGCAAGAAGTTTGTTGTGGAAGTTTCGAGGAGGGGGTAGGTAAATAAGTATCCCACTTGTGGGAGTGGACCAGAGGCCTAGAGAATTCAGAATAAAACCAAACTGGTTGGCCAACCGCCTTGGAGCCATTTCATCAGTCTTCTGAAACCTGGCCCAGGTGGAGAGGCCGGGAGCTGCTGAGACGGGTTCTCTGCTGGTCGGGGAACGCTGGGCCGAAACCGTGTGGCCTTCCCGGGCCCCCGAAGCCCACTTCCCAACCTTTGCGACTTGATCCGGGTGGGGGTGGGGCAGGGGGCTGGGACGCGCGGACGCTGAGCCGCAGGAGCCGCTGTAGTGTAGTGAGCTTTGATTATGCAGCTGGACCCCTGTAGAGGCGCGGGCCGCCGCTACAGGGGAGCGAGGGGGAAAGCCTGGAGAAAGGCTCCGGAATCGAAAAAGGGGAAACTGACCCCCTGTTTCTCTCTCCCCGGAGGTGGGACAGTTGCACGAAGTGCTAGTTAGACCGGATCAGTTGGAACTGACCGAGGAGTGCAAAGAAGAAACTAAAATAGACGCCGAAAGCTTATCCTCCGCGCCTCAGCTGGACCAAGCCCTCCGACAGGTGACAGCCCCGGGCCACACCGCCCACTTCCATCCGGGCTGTCCCAGCAGCCCCACAACCGGACCCACCCCTACTGCTGCACGTCCTCTCGGGGTGGTCGCCGCGGGTCACTGGGGCTGGGTGGCAGGACTCCCAGTCGCTTGGATGGGAGCCTGGTCCGGGGACTGGGAGAGGTCGCTGCTCCTTTTCGCTTCGTTACCCAAACTACCCAAATTTGCTAGTTTTCCAGTAGCTTCCTAGAGTAGTTCCTGGGGTCGGAGACTCCGCAGCGTTTAACCATTTGAATGACCAGCGAAGCTAGATGAATTGTATAGTCCCCATCTCCAGGTCCAGACCCCAAACGCTCCAGTCGCCAGCGGGGTTTGGGTCTGTGGCTCTGCCATGGAGCAGGGGGCGCTATGGTGTAGATGGTGCCAGCCAACCTGGCGTCGCGTGATAGAAACGGCCCGAGTTTTGGTCAGAACCTGAAAGAGCCCGACTGCTTTTAGTCTTATGAACTCTCCAAAAAAAAAGGCTGGGTTCTATAATTTCTTTAATGGTTTTGATCTCAGTCTCAAGTAAGGTTTGGGTCACCGTGGAACTGGTGGAATCCCCTTTTTGGAACCGAGGTAACTTAAAAACTGGCAGTTCCGGGGAGCAGATCCTGGGTTAGGGCGGGGCGCCCAACACCTGCGCACCTATGAATACCCGGAGCTCTCACTGCCTCTGCCCTAGCACAGGAGTTTCGAATTATAGGAGAAAGTTATCATTTCTGGGGTGTATTCCAGGTTCGTGTTACCAGCCTTTACAGAGGTCTGTGTATCCATTGTCTGCTTTGTTTATCAGAAATTGGTTTCTTTCTTAAACCTGGCACATGCAAACAAAGTAACGCTGGGGAATGATGTAATCTGAAGGCAACCTACCAGGAAAGCAGACCTCTGATTTGTCTTCAATGAGTTTATCGCAAAAATAGAGGGGGGTACGGGAGGGGAAATACACATATGAGCAAAAACTGTGAATTGGATGGAAAGCGTCCTTACCGAAACCTGTCTTAGGGGGATTTGTGATGTCTGCCCCAGCAGCGTTGTCAATTTTAGGCTCACCGGCATGACTCGCCCCGACCCCAGTTATTACCAAGTGGGGCCATTTTGAAGAGTTTGTAAACCCTGTATCAGTTGTGTTCCTCCCTGTGTGTCTTATTCTTTCAGTTTAACCAATCAGTGAGCAATGAACTCAATATCGGGGTAGGGACTTCCTTCTGTCTCTGTACTGATGGGCAGCTTCATGTCAGGCAAATTCTGCATCCTGAGGCTTCCAAGAAGGTAAGAGTGCTGGCTTCTGGAAAAATGGTTGGACTTTTGAGATGAATGAAAGCTTTTTAGAAAACTGGCTTATCCAAATTATTATTTTTTAAAAAGCTGCAGGTAGGGAGTTATTGTTTCATGTGACCAATAATTTCATTTTGGGAAGATAAAAAAGCTCTGAGAAAAGAAGGTTGTGAGTTGCAAAAAACTAATGTGCTTATTGCTTGTGAAATGTACACTTAAATTGCTAAAATTGGGCCTGAGATGTAGCTCAGTGATAGAGCACATGTGTAGCACATGTGGGTTTGGTTCCCCAGCACCACACACACATATATATTAAAATGGTAAATTTAATATTATGTATATTCTACCACAGTTACAAGATGCATGACAATTTCATGGAGATGTTCAGGTTTGCAGTAATTTGGTAACTTAACAAAAAGATTGTTTTCAAGATGCTTGATGTTTTCCCACTTCCAGAGTTAGCATGGAGTTTGATATTTTGACAAAATAACTACGAGTAGGAAAGCAAGAATGGTGTTTTAGTGCATTATAATATTTTCATTTCTTGAAATACTTTATCCTAAAAAGGAAGGGGTCAATAAGTTCAACTCAACCATTTTAATTATAATTCATTAAAAAGTCTGCTTAAATAACACTTAACTATACAACTAGCAAAATATTAATTATGGCACACTTTATCTAATTTTTAAGGGAATGTTCAAGACTAAATCTTAAATCTATAGGGTCATGACAATTTTTTAATTTTGTTAACTTTTCTGATGTGGAAAAGACTATAGAGTGAGAAGTCTTGTCGTGGGTATAGTATGGTTTCACTCCCTGGAAATACTACTTAGGGAACAATGAAGAGCAGACAGCTCACTCAGGGTAGCCAATCACTGCTAAGCTAGTTGCTCTTAACAACTTAAATTAATTTAAGCCGTAACTTTTTATTGTGCCAGGCAAGCACTGAGTTTGAAAAGATAAGAATATATTTAGGTAACTCTATGAGGCAAGTCTTGCAATGAAAAATGTAGATTGACAATTGATGACACCGGAAAGTATAGTCAGTACAGATTTTCTTCAGTCCTCAAGTAGAGAAAGCTGGGAAATTAGTTAAGTATATAGTAATTTTAAATGTCTGAAGAAGAAATCCAAGTTACACTGATTTGAGGGATAAGGTGATCACTTTTTTTATAAGAATTTTAGTTGTTATTTCAGTTTTATTAAGTGCTAATTCATTTTCTATACCCTTGACCTAAAAAGACATGTGAATTATTTTTTCCCAAAAAATATTAATATGGGGGTCTTCTTATTGGGTCAAAGGAAAACAGTTGTTTCCATTATTTTAGATGGATTGCTTTGGGTATGGAAAAACTCTGGAGGGAAAAAAAAAATGTTTTCCTAAGTTGGTTTTATTAGGATAGACTAAATATAAGAAAAGTAATCTTGTATATTCATTTATAGGCAAAATGGGAAATATAAAAGAAATAATCTATGCAGAAAACAATAGATTAAAATGTTTTTACTAATATAAGCACATATAGATATATTCTTTCAGACTTCTGTAAAAAAGCATTATTTTTACAAGGAACATTCATACTATACAAATACTTTCAGCCTCTATAATTTAACATAAGATCATGGTTTCACTCCCTGGAAATACTACTTAGGGAACAAAGAAGAGCAGAAAGCTCACCCAGGGTAGCCAACATTTCATAAGCACTAACTAAAATGCTCAGTATTTTAAATGGACACAGCTATTTTTTTTTTTTACATGTTTATGGACCTTTATTTTATTCATTTATTAAATGTGGTGCTGAGAATCAAACCCACCTCACAAATGCTAGGCAAGTGCTCTACCACTGAGCCACATCCCCAGCCCTTTTTTATTTAGAGATAGGGTCTCACTGAGTTGCTTGGGGCCTAGTTAAGTTGCTGAAGGCTGGCTTTGAACTCGCCATCTTCCTGCCTCCGACTCCCAAGCTGCTGGGATTACAGGCATGTGCCAGCTTGAACACAGCTATTTAAATTGATCCTTTATTGCTGTATAGGCAGACAGTTTTTAAATTAATACTTTGGCAGGTAACTGAGAATTCATGATTCTTTTGGTAGTTCACTTTTTGTTGCTTTGGTACTTGGGATTGAACCCAGGGGCGCTTTACCACTGAACTACATCGCCAGAGCTATTTTTTATTTTGAGAGGGGGGTCTTGCTAAATTGCCAAGGCCTGCCTTGAGTTTGCAATCATCCTTCCTAAGACTCCTGAATCCAAAGATTACAGTCGTGTGTCACCATACCCAGTTAAATAATGGGGTTTTTTTGTTTGTTTGTTTTTAACTTTAAGTTATTCAATGAGGGTTTTTTGTTGTACACACACACACTGTAATATTTGTCAACACAGTTGAGCTTTGTTTAATAATCACATGAGTGCTGCTTGGAACCAAGAATAGCAAGGAACCATTTCTTCGCTTTTGATTTTTGAGGCATATATATTATAAAATATGTGTGTATGTGTATGTGTGTATGTATATACATATCATACATGTATATATACACATACATGAATTATTTTCTGAGGTGACTGTATATATATGTATATGTATATACAGTCACATGTGTGAATGTATATATGTATATATACATGTGTATATCAGGAATTTGCTCTTATCTAATTTAGTACTGACAATATGTATTATTAGTACCCAATAGTAGTTAGAACTACTAAATTTTACAACTTAATCTTATGTATAAACTTATGTATCTGCACGAAAACTGATACTTGAAAATGCAGATGGTTTAAAATGATTGGGTTGGGGTTGTAGCCTCACACGTGTGCAGCCCTTGGTTCAATCCTCAGCACCACATAAAAATAAATAAAATGAAGGTATTGTGTCCAGCTACAACTAAAAAAAAAAAAAAAAATGGGTTGAGGATGTGGCCCGGTGAGTGGTTAAGCACCCTGGGGTTCAATCCTGGTTACCAAAAATAAAAAAAATAAAAATATATTTTTCTTGAAAAATAAATAAAATGCTTATGGCTGGGAAAAGAATGTATTATTCAGAAAATATAAAGTATAACAACTCAGATATATTACAGCTTCGGAAATGTTTTGAATGAAATGCATAATGGAGTACATTGTAATCCAGTTCATTGAAATAAAATGGATTTTTTTTATGTGAGACCTGTATACAAGATCTAATGCAATAATAGGATCAGCTGTTAAAAATAAAGCTGTTCTTATATTTTTAAAAATCATGGTAAAATATGCCTACGTTGAATTCTTAGTCTTAATTACTAGAGAAACACTGAGCAAATTTACCTAGTTAACAATATCTACCTTGTCCTTCCTCAGAATGTATTACTACCTGAATGCTTCTATTCCTTTTTTGATCTTCGAAAAGAATTTAAGAAATGTTGCCCTGGTTCACCTGATATTGACAAACTGGATGTTGCAGCAATGGCAGAGTGTATCCTTTAAATGATTAATCAAGAACCAATTGCATATAGCTCCAAGAAAAAAAAATGCAATTTGAAAAACTTCTAAATGTTTTAAACTTCATCAGTGTATGAATGATATTGTCTGGTCCACATTTATATACTGTACTAGGAGAAACTTACAGTACACTTATATTAATCTTTCAGAGTAGTTATTATTAAATGAATTGAACAGTTGCATGGACTTAGACATGGATTTTTGTGAAGGTGATTGCATCTAAAATAAGGTTCAGTTACAGATGATGATATTTTCTGGGTGAGGGGTGTGATGAGTTGGAGGAGAATGTGAAGACTTTGCTGTCTTCGATGCAAATAGCAAGGCTACTTGATCTTGCTTATCTGGTCTTAGGGTTTATCTTGTTCTTTGGAATGGATAACTTAAAGTAATGGGTGCATGTCCTTTACAAACTGCAGTTCATTGATTTCCTCTTTTAATCTCCCCTGAGTTTCTCAAATACATACAAGATTATGGTGGTTATGATGCATCTTTGGTGATAAAATAGGGTCATTGTCCCCCAAATCTTTATTTATCATGGGAGTATATTTAATGCATTATATATTGTAAAAGTAAGTATTTGTAATCATAAATTTTGAAGTTTATGATTGACCCATTATCTTGCATCTAGTAAGTCTTTAAAGTGTTAACTAATAAGCAGTCATGTGCTAATATATCAAATGAAAACTGAATAATAGGTTAGACTACTCCCCCAGAGCACTGAGAATCATTATAAAGTCAAATCTGTTATTTTTAGGAACTTGGCAGTTGTAAATTTTTTTGTCTTTGTTTTTGTTTGTACCAGGAATTGAATCTGGAGGTGCTTACTGCTGAGCTACATGCCTAGACATTTTTATTTTTATTTTGAGACAGGGTCTTGCTAAGTTCTTGAGGCTGGCCTTGAACTTGCAATCTTTCTGCCTCGGCCTCCACTGGGATTACAGCCATGGGCCACCATGCCCAGCTGTAGAGGCTTATTCTTAAACTTTCTCATTCATTTTCAAGAAAAAGCCTGCTGTTTGTTGTATTGGTTAGGGCCTCCTACCCTTATGATCTCATTTAACCTTAACTGTCTCCTGGAAACCCTCTTCTTTAGATTCAGTCCCATTGGGAGTGAGGGTTTAAGATATACATTTTGGGTGTGCTTAGACTATGCTAAACTATTTGATACCCTAGTATCTAGAATAAAAGTATCTAGAACAAATATCAGGGGTGTGGGTGTAGCTCAGTGGTAGAATATGTGCTTAATATGGTCAAGGTTCTTTTCATCCCCAGTGAGCATGTGCGTGCTTGTACATACATGCTCACAACCATCGGTAGATGAGAGAATTTTGAAAAGTCTTAATTTTTAAAAAATATGACAATTTCAGTAGGTATAGGCAGTATTTAAGATTTCTCTCCAACGATTGTTTCCTCTTAAAAAACAAAAAACAATTTGTGGGTTTTTTGTTTGTTTGTTTTTTGCCCAGGAGGGGTTTGCTGCTGGAGATTGAACCCAAGACCTCACACATACCAGGCAAGCACTCTAGCACAGAGCCACACCCACCCAGCCCTCCGTTTCTTCTTAAAGAAAACATTTTCCTAGAGATTATAGATCAACTTGCTAGTAAAAATGTCCACAACTACAAATAGGGGCTTCTTAGGAGTTTCTTTTCTATCATTTCTTTTAGTTCTAGTTCTATGAGCATACATTGGCAGTTTTTTTCAATGCTATACAGATGAAAATCAGAAATATTTGGCTACAGTAAAGAGCTTAATTGTGAATAAAGCTGTTGGGTTCTATTTTCATGAGCATTGAAACTGAAATTTGAGGCAGACTTTCATGACCATGCATTCATTGAAATGACAAGATTTTATATTTCTTTAAAAATAACTTTTTTAGGGGGATGATATTGGCCAAACTATATTGTGTATCGTGTATTCGTACGAATATGTAACAACATCCCATCAGTGTGTCCAACTAAAATGCACCAGGAAAGGGGCTTGGATTGTGTCTCAGGGGTAGAGTGCTTGCTTGCTTAGCATGTGTGAGGCACTGGGTTCAATTATCAGCACCACATAAAAATAAATAAAACAAAGGTGTTGTCCATCTGAGAAATTTTTTTAAAATAACTTTTTTTTATAGATTAGTGTCTTTTGACTTAAATTGAGTCTTGGGTTTATAGTTTTATTACCAACTAACAAGTATATTTTAATCTTAATCGTAATTTTTTCCCCCTATAGTGGCAATTGAACCCAAGAATACCCTACCAACACTGGGCTACCCCCCAACTACTTTTTTTTTTTTTTTTTTGAGACAGACTTACTAAGTTGTAATCCTCCTGCCTCAGCCTCTGATATTCCTGAGATTTTAGGTGTGTGCCTCGTATATCTGGCTAGTTAATAGCATTTTTAGACTGTTTAGTGTTATATTTTCGTGTTTGTTTTCCACTTACCAAAACATTTAAAATTAGATGGGCACGTAGTACATGCCTGTAATTCTACTGCTCAAGAGGCTAACAGTTTGAGGCCAATCTCCACAATTAGACCCTGTCTCAAAATAAAAAGGATTAGGGGTATAGCTCAGAGGTAGAGCACTTGTCTAGCATTTGCAAGGCTTTGTATTCGATTTCTGGTACTGGGGGTGAAATTCAACCTTTCTTAGCAATTTTTTTTTCATTGCTGCTATGATCAATTATCATAAGATTCTTATTCAGAGAAATCAATATTTTCCTGATGAGGCCACCAGAACAATTTTTGAGGTCAAAAGCAATCACATTAAATCTGCCTATCAACTGTGCTCATCTATGCAAAGAGTTTTGCAAAACTCTTTTTATTCTTTCAGGCCACTAAGCCATTTTCCTTGCTAATGTGGAAATGACCCTGAATTTTGAAACAAAGCTAGTCAATGAATGTCCTTGATGACTTTGCCAAGTAGATGGAGAGTCATTTGCTCCTGTTAGATTACCTCTTCCAGTGGTGGAGGAAGAGAGGCTCCTGCCAAAACTGCGAGAAAGGAGCAATTAAGAAGATTTGCACGTTTATATGTTTGTATGATTTATCTTGTGGAATCTTTTAATTTTTTACTAATGTGTTGGTGCTGGTGATTGAACCCATGGCTTGTGCATGTGAGGCAGGCAGTCCACCAGCTGAGCTATATTCCCAGCCCCGAATCTGTATTCTTGTTTTGTGTTTTTAGATAAAAGTGAAGAAATATTGATTTGTTTGGAACCTCAGTGGCTTTACAGTACTATGTTAATAATTTTTTTTTTTTAAGAAGTGCAGTTTTAGATTCAGAGCAAATGGAACAGAATGTATAGTGTTCCTGTAAGACCCTTGCTTTCTCCCTCACTCACCCAAACCCTCATACCTTCCTTCCGTGTCTCCTCCCTCCCTGTCAACATGCTGTACCAGAGTGATACATTTGTTAAAATAGATGACTATACTTGACATTATCATCTAAAGTCCATAGTTTACATTAAAGTTCATATTTGATGGTGTGTATTTCTTAGGCTTTGACAAATGTTTTTATACTGATGTGTATTCATCATTGTATACTATAATGTGTTGCAGTATGTATAGAAAAACTTCATTGTACTTTCTGTTTCACCCGTTCATTCCTCCCACTAACCTTTATACTATCTCTGTAGTTTTACCATTTCCATATCACATAATTGGAATCGAATAGTATGTAGCCTTTTAAGATGGACTTTTTCTTATACCTAATGATATATACTTAAGGTTCCTCCATGTGTTTTCCCAGATTGATCATTCATTTCTTTTTAGTGCTGCAAATATTCCATTGTCTCTATGTACCACAGTTTGTTTATTCACTCTTCTATTGAATGACAACTTTGTTATTTCCAAGTTGCTTTATTATGACTAAAGCTGCTGTAAACATCTTTGTACAGATTTTTGTGGGGGCATGTTTTTAATTCATTTGGGTAAGTACCAAGAAGTGTGATTGTTGGATCACATATGTTGAGTGTAATTTTTTATATCTCAAATGCAATGTTCAACACATTTTTGTAAGAGAAAGCAATGAAACCATGAATTTTTTAAAAATGTAGAACTTCATTATGCAGCATTTCAAGGTGTTTATAGATAATGAAAAAATATTTTTAGGCAAGTGCTCTAGCACCAAGCTTCACTCTCAGCCCCAGTGTTGTTATTCTCTAATGTTAGAGGAAACTAAAGAAAAAGGTGTAGTCACAGAATCTGAGCTCTCTTGGACCAGAGAGGCCCTGCCACTGTGCCTTCTCCAAGTCTCACTTTTATCTTGGTATTCCCAGTTGAAAACTATGGAAGTGTGAAAGTATGACCACTTTAATAAAAGAAGGTTTGGGGAATTTCTTGAATGCAGTTCTGGTTCTTATTTTAGCAGTTCTTTCCCTCTTTGTATTTGTTCCAAAAGCTATTTCTGATGTTGGTGTTAGGCTTCCGAGTTGTTCCAGTTGCAGGTGTGTTGCCTGCTTCTTAATTGTGCAATCCCAGTTGAGAAGACCTTATCTACAGGTAACCTGTAGATTGCATTTGGTAAGCTTCATTTAATCAGGTGAGGTGGTGAGAGTTTGACAGGGTAGTGCTTCTGTGATTTCTTCTCCTCCTCCTCCACTTCTCCTCCTTTATTTACCTCCTTCCTCTTCCTTCCTTTTTTTCTTTTAAGAAATTATCTTAGCTCCCTTGGAGAAATTAATACTAGTTTAGTTTCTCCTATGGAAAAAGACATTTTGATTATGGTGCTGTTTGTACAAGTGACTTTTATTTATTTTTAAAAAGTAATCTTGGAGTTTCCTCACTCATGCTGGAATTACTTCCTGATTTCTTTACCTGTTTTTAGTTTCCTTATTCATGAACTGATTTATTCTCATTACCATTGTGTTTACTTCAATTTTCTAAGCCTTTATTAAGATCTTAACTCTTAATGAAATATAGAAAGGAACGATCAGGGTTGGGGATATAGATCAGTGATGTAATATAGCTCAGTGGTAGGGCATG